TGTTGTGTATGAGACTTAATCAGACGGGGCTCCGCCACCGTGATCTAATTGCTCGCGCTGACGACTCTTTTATTAATAACTTTTTCTTGTCTTTTTTCTCTCTCTCCCTCCGACATACTAGAGATCGCGCGCTTTTGTTCGAAAAGTCTTCCTGTCATAATTATAAGAAGTTTGTCCAAAGAATAAACGCTCGTGCTATTAATTGTGAATTCTTATTTGGCGTCCCGGAATACAATAATTTTGGTGTCAGAAGTGGGATATGCAAAAGAGTGACGAGAAGTCCATGCCTGCTGGATGTGAGGATATCTTCGACTCAACAGCGTAATCTCCGTGCAAACAAATAAAATGGCGGAAAACGTATCTCCTGAACTCATGCAAGCTCTGACTCAGATGATTGTTAGTGCGCTCAAGACATCCGTCGGTCATGCTTCCGCGGAATTCCAGATGCCTCAAGACGGTACCGAGGCTGGCACATTAATTCAACCAAAACCACCTACATTTTTTATGACCGAATATCGCTCGTCGGAAGAGACTTCGGTTGCTGACTACTTCAAGCGATTCGAGTGGGCGTTGAAGTTGAGCAAAATTCCAGAAGGGCAGTATGCGAATTACGCCCGAGTTCACATGGGTGCGGAGCTGAACAACGCCATCAAATTCCTGGTAAGCCCTCGTGACCCTGAAGACGTTCAATTCACTGAACTACGTACGATATTGGTAGACCATTTTGACCAAGCTAAAAATAAATACGTTGAGAGCGTGAAATTCAGACAAATCGTTCAGCAAAAAGGCGAATCTATCGCAAATTTCGCACTACGTTTAAAACAAGGCGCTGCGCATTGTGAATACGACACATTTCTGGACAGAATGTTGATTGAACAACTTCTCCACGGACTGGAATCACGAGATATGTGCGACGAAATTATCGCTAAGAAACCGACTACATTCAGTGCGGCATACGAGATCGCGCATTCACTCGAGGCAACCCGGAACACGGCAAGTGAAATTAGGACCTCCGAACCGGCAACCGCTCCTGAAATGACAAACAAACTGGGTTATGAAATGCCGAAAACGAAAAAAAGCGGACAGTTTCGACATCGAACATCACCACTGGACAACGGACAACTTCAAGGTTCGTGTAATGGTTGCGGAGGACAACATCTGAGAAGCCAATGTCGATTCCGCGAAGCAAAATGCTTCAAATGTGACAAGACCGGTCATATATCTAAGGTATGCAGGACAAAGAGGTCTACACCGCAGGATTCCTCCACCAATCAGGTTCAATCGGAAATGCCATCTGCTCAAGTTGATTCCCTACAACTATTAAGTCAAATTCACGAAATTGCCTCTCCAGGTAAGCAAATTATTAATGTCAAGATCGATGGCCATAACCTCGGGATGGAAGTAGACACGGGAGCACCATGTAGTATCATTGGAGTATCAAAGTTACGTGAGATTAAACCCCACTTTTCTTTACAGAAAACTGATAGGCAATTTTCGAGTTACACAGGACACCATATTGATTGCCTTGGTCGTATCCCAGTAAACGCAACTATTGGATCCGCTACACGAAGACTTAATCTCTACGTCGTTTCAGGAGACACAGACACTCTCTTGGGACGGGAATGGATTTCGCACTTCTCCCACGAAATAAATTTAAATCGACTCTTCTCTTCAACCAATCCGGTTAATTCGCTGACTTCTGAACCGCAGATAACCCCAGAACAGAATGCACGTCTCAACCAGCTTCTGACAAGTTTCAAAGACATCTTCAGTGACGTCCCGGGTAAATTTATTGGTCCGCCGGCGACGGTGCATTTGAAACCTGGAGCATCTCCAATCTTTGCCAAGGCACACGATGTTCCATTAGCGCTGCGGGACCAATATGCTAAAGAAATCGATGCAAAAATCGCATCGGGATTCTATGAAAAGGTTGATTACTCGGAATGGGCTTCACCTACTCATATTGTTGTTAAAAAGAATGGAAAATTACGTATCACTGGTAATTACAAACCGACAGTTAACCCGAGAATGATCATTGACGAACACCCAATACCGAAGATCGAACATCTTTTTAATAAAATGAGAGGAGCTACGCTCTTTTGCCACCTCGATATCACGGATGCATACACGCATCTTCCCATCGATGAAAACTTCCGAAATGTCCTTATACTGAATACTCCAACGCACGGACTGGTTCGACCAACGAGGGCGGTTTACGGAGCTTCCAACATCCCGGCAATCTGGCAGAAACACATGGAAATCATTCTTAAAGGCTTGTCGGGTGTCATCAATTTTTTCGACGATATAATTATTTCCGCTAACGGATTCGACGAGTTGTTATCAAGACTCTCGGCAACACTGGACCGTTTGAGGACCCACGGTGTACGACTTAATCGGACAAAATGTGTCTTCGCCACTCCGACCTTGGAATGCTTGGGACACAAAATAGACGGTCATGGTTTACATAAATCGGACAAACACATCGAAGCCATTCGTGATGCACCTCAGCCAGCAACCCCGGAGCAATTGCAGTTGTTTTTAGGAAAAGCTTCGTACTATAGCGCGTACATTCCTAATCTCTCCGATAGAACGCGCCCATTGCGAGACATGCTACATACAGATCCATTTAAATGGACACCGAATGCAGAGAAGGCATATCAGGACATCAAAAAAACCTTGATTTCACCTCAAGTATTGATGCAATACGACCCATCTCTTCCGTTGATCCTAGCCACAGATGCGAGCAAAACAGGCTTAGGAGCAGTTCTCTCACATCGACTTGGAAATGGACAGGAACGACCGATTGCATACGCCAGCCGTACCATGTCCACCACTGAACAACGATATCCCCAGATCGATAAAGAAGCTCTCGCCATTGTTTGGGCAGTGAAAAAGTTTTTCTATTATCTATACGCTCGTAAATTTATTTTAATTACAGACCACAAGCCGTTAACACAAATTCTGCATCCTGAGAAGTCCCTTCCAACGCTCTGTATTAGCCGTATGGCAAACTACGCAGATTATCTGGCCCACTTCAATTTCGACGTCGTCTTCAGACCTACAAACCAGAATATAAATGCCGATTACTGCTCCCGGATACCGTATCCATCAACGCGGAACGAAGTCAACAAACTGTCCTTTCACGGGGGAAGAGATGGTAATGAAGAAGATGGAATTGACCGATTTGCCCTACACCAAATCCAACAGCTGCCAATTCGCGCGGAACACATAGCGAGAGAGACACGCAAAGACTTTCATCTCGGCAAAATAGTGCGGGAGTTGGAAACAGGTCGCAATCTCGCACGTATTGGCTACAAGGCCCCGGAAGCGAACTACACACTCGCCGCCAACTGCTTACTCTTTGAGCACAGAGTAGTTATACCTCCGTTATTGAGACAGTCAATCTTGGATGATCTACACGCAGCTCACATCGGTATAGTAAAAATGAAGGGCCTAGCGCGATCCTTTATCTACTGGCCAGGCATAGACTCGGACATCGAACGGACTGCAAAATCATGTGTGGAATGTGCACGCCATGCACATGCCCCGCCAAAGTTCAGCGATCATCACTGGGAGTATCCAAAGGGGCCGTGGGAGCGAGTACATATTGATTATGCAGGTCCAGTCGCAGGTGCGATGCTGCTCGTCATCGTCGACGCGTACAGCAAGTGGCTGGAAGTTAAAGTCACCAATTCATCGACTACAGGCACTACGATTCAAATTCTGGATGAGCTATTCGCTACGTACGGAGTGCCGACAACCATCGTTTCAGATAATGGTACACAATTCACTGCTGCCGAATTTAAGTGTTTTCTACAAAAAAGCGGAGTGACATTTCACAAGCTTTCAGCGCCATACCACCCTGCTACAAATGGTCAGGCAGAACGTTACGTCCAAACGGTGAAAGATGCCTTGAGAGCGATGTCAACTACAAGAAATTCATTACAAACGAATTTGAACGAATTTTTACGGCAGTACCGTAAAGCGCCCCACACGACCACCGGAGAATCACCATCCAAGTTGTTCCTAGGACGCAATCTGCGCACTCGCCTCGATCTGGTGAAACCACAAGATGTCAGCACTAGGATTTCGCAAAAACAACGGATGGAATTCAACCCCTCCTTTCGGAAATTTCAGTCTGGACAACAAGTTTATTTTCTCTCTGGAAATACCCGTATGGACAAGTGGGTCTCAGGAGTGATAGTCTCTCGCTTAGGCGATCTTCACTACTCAATAGACTATAATGGTAAACATTTCAAACGCCATGTCGACCAAATTCGACCCTGTCATCAAAACGAGGTACGCCATTCGCAGGACCAACATCGAGACACCACATCTCGTCATATACATTTTTACGGAGGAAACTCCACACCCCAAACAACACCGTCAAGTCCTGGAGCAAGAGACATCCCCGCATCCCCTTCAACTGCCACATCAAGTCCTGGAGCAAGAGACACCCCCGCATTTCCTTCAACTGCCTCAGCATCCCCGGAACCAGAGTTTATAACCCCCGGAAGTAGTCCACAACGCCGTGAAGAAAATTCCCCTTCACCCTACCTTCGTCGATCATCGAGAATACGCCGTCCGCCACTTCGATATTTCCCATAGATTTCAATTCGCAACGGAGGGAAGAAATGTTGTGTATGAGACTTAATCAGACGGGGCTCCGCCACCGTGATCTA